TGAAAGAGTAGAACTCAAATCCCAAGAAAAGTCAGGAATTGCGCCTGGTGCATTTTCCCAACATAGTGTGTTTTCCATGTTTTGCATCAAACCAAAGGTAGGAGACAAGGAGGTTGAGTTTCATTTAATTGCTTGTTAGTTAAAACCCCAAACGACAACATTTCATCACATTTTTCTTCCTAAAGCACAATTGCATATTTGGACCATTTCACTGCATTACTTGATTTTGAAAAGCAACAAGTCCCTGAGGATTCGACCTTGGATTACTTCTGAGTATTACTTGTGATCGTGTGCGCTTACACGAGTCTCTAATCTTTTTAAAGGTAGAGAAAGTCCCAATAGGTGTCCAGGTAGAAAAATTTTCATATTTAAAGTTGGACAATTTTGGAGAAAATTTTTGGGCCATCAAATCTTGTCCAAATTGATTTCTTTTTGACAAGTAATCCTAATATTGTTTATTCTTTATTCTAAAATTTTTGGACTATTGTGTCAACTTTGGACAGCCCAAAAGGAGGATAGCCACCTAGTCCACTAGACCACTTGAGAGAGCCTTTTTTGTGTGGCCCTAGAATTCTTTGAGAGATCAGCCTCCTCCGACGTTCTCAAAACCTTTTGGCAATCCACACACGTTAAGTACACCCCTTCTACTTTATTTTACCACTGGTTTGAGCCCAATCCGAGCCATATACAACACGCAACTTTCACCCAAAGTCACCCGACTGGGAGCAAAGGTTACTGTTTTGTTGGTAAGAAATCTTTTTGTGTGTGTCTGCACTATGAGTAGGATTTTGTACATCATTTAAAGTTATTTTTGTTTTCATTGATTTTTATTGCATAGTTTTTTCTTTGTTGAGCTTTGACTTCAATTTGTGTATTGTTGTCGAGTCTTTAGTACTGAGAGCATCAGGCTCAAGGTTTACATCTTATCTTTCTTTGTTTATATCTTTGTTTCAATTCTTCTTGTTATATCATTTGGTATTTGTTTGCTACCATTTGATTCTTGTCTTTGGTATCATCTATACCATTGACCCCTAGAAAAAAAAAATAGAGAGAGAAAGTATTTTTGCATAAGTTGCTTGTAGGCTTGTGCTTGCTTGTTTAAGAGTCAAATTCGCCACGAGCAACCAAGTGAGCATCTCCAAAAGGGTATCTACACCGACATCCACCCTACCAAAGGAGAGTAAGCCGAGAGGTCAAGTAAGGGAGAGAGTGAGTTTATAAGTTTTTATTTTGTTCTAACCTTTACTTGTGTAGGATGGAGTCAATAATGGAGATTTCACAATGAGCCACCACCAACTCCAAGAAGAAGGAGTAAGTCCACAATGTAAGTACTCATTAGATGCTAGGAGATATCTCAATGCACAATCTAGGGAAGATTCCTTGGAGGAACATAGAGATAATCTTTTTTACACTAGATGCATAATAAATATCACACATTGTAGTGTTCGTATTGATAGTAGTAGTTGCACTAATGTAATTAGCACCTATATAGTGGATAGATTGAACTTAGCCACCACACCACATCCATGTTCATATAATTTGCAAGGTTTAACTAATATTGGTAAAATAAAGGTCCAAAGTCAAGTTAGAGTTTCTTTTGCAATAGGTAGGTATAAAGATGAGATTATTTGTGATGTCATACCTATGCATACTTGTGACCTTTTGTTTGGAAGACCGTGGAAATATGATATGAAGGTGAAGTATGATAGTTTACTTAATTGATATACTTTTGCTAATAATGGACAGAAAACCACATTATTCTCATTGTCACCAAAAGAAGTTCAAATTGATCAATTAAATTTGGAGGAAAGAATAAAGGAGTTCACAACCAAGGAGGCTACCAAGTTGGAGAAAAGAATGAAAGAGCAAGGAGGCTACCAACATCCAAGAGGAAAAGGTAAGTGCCCCCAACCTAGGTGAGAAGGCCGAGAGCCTCAAGGTAAGTTCAAATGAGGTTGACTATAAATTGCCTTGCGATGATATTCATGTTGATCATATTTTATTTAATTTCAATGACTTACATGATTCTCTGCCTATAGTTGAAAAGGAAAGTTGTAAGACCATGCATGACATTACTATTGATAATAAAGGAAATGCAGAATGTTTTTCCACTTGCAGAGGAAGAGAGTACTAAGAAGGTACCTTGTGATTCTATGCACCACATTCCTAATCCTTTAACTACTAAAATTTATTGTGATTATGAAGTATCCATGCTTGTTCCACCAATTCATAATGATTCACAAGTTGAATGTTAGTTTGAAAGTATGAGAGAAGGAAAAGATGAGTTGAAAGAAATTAGCTATGGAAAGAAAGAAGAGAAAAAGAGAATGGTTCACACTATTGCGCCTCATAAGCTAAATCATAAGCGACTATTGGAGAAGGATCCTTACCTTCAAAATCACTTGTCTTATTCAAATGTTTGTATCCTTCTAAGATTTTTGCAGGATCGTATCAAGATGGAGATTCATGGACTCGTCCTACCAATTTCTCATAATCTCAAGATCATCTTACTAGGTACGTATATGATAAATTTTAATTTTGAAGTTACTCCCTTGTTTTGTTTATGTGTAGGTGACCACCTTAATTCGAGGACGAACCCTTTTCAAGAAGGAGGAGATGATTGGCTTCAAGTCCTTGGAACGAAGTCAAGATAAGAAGAGAGCTCTAACGCACACAAAACATCCAAAGCGAAAGGACACGGACAGCATGCGGCCCACACCATGCGTGCCATCGCGCTCGTATCCCGTCGCACACCTTCTACCAGGGCTAACCTTGCAACGCCAAGGCGCCAGAGCCAGTGCACCCCTTAT